TTTTTAAGAACTGGAAATAGACTCTAAACACACTTTGAAAGTATATGCTTCTTTCCATCGGAAAAATCTTTTCAGCAGCAGCGTTTAGAAAAACAAAACAAAGATATCTGAAACTACAAATTTATGTTGAAGTGGAGCATTTCAAAAATATGATCTATGAACATTTATGCAAGCGAAAGAAAACAAAGATCGTCTCCTGCGGTTCAGTCTCTCGGAGCATCAAAACAGTTGTTATAAAGGAGCAGACTGGGACTACGTCAGTCCCGAATTGCCTCTTCAGTGTCACTGTTTTTGTCCCAGTCTTTCATGTTGGCTTCCATCATGAAATCCTCCCTAAGGACACTCCAGGCGGGTTTCTCCTCCTCTGCGGGAGGAGGAGGAAGATTCTCCGTCTTGACTGGAACTCCGTCTTCTTCCTCTGTTCTCCTGAGGACACCGATGAAGTCTTTCTTTGAAATAGAAGATATAATCTTGGCCTTCTTTCTTTCGGACCCACCGACCTCTTTCAGAGCTTCATTTGTGTTTTTCTGATGTTTCCTCACAGCGTTGAAAAGCTGGACCACCCCTCTGGTGGCGGTCTTCTGCAGCGCTCTCTCCGTCTCACGGTCCCGCACTATGTCAGGCTTTTCCCGAAACATCATCTCCCACATTCGCTTCTTGTCTATTTGTTTCTTCTTCTCCAGATGCTCTGCTTTCTCCGCTGCATCTTTCTTTTTAACTAGGATGCCACTCTTGTTCTCTGAGGTTTTCTTCCCGAGGATCTTGGCCATGGCGTCTGCCCAGCCACCGACGGCGTCATTTTCTTCATCCTCTTCCCTCTCCGCTTCGTTACCATCATGGCTGTCCGTGTTTTCCGCTTCGCCTGATTCTCCATCTGCACTTTCAGCTTCTGAATCGCTGTGTTGGAGTTCGTCTTCGGAGTTCTGAGACACGTTCTCGCCACGCACCGCCATCATGCTGCCCGAACCCTGAACCGGAAGATAAATTGTTGCGTTAGCGGAAGTGCCTACCGGAGTTGTATCGAGCTTCGTCCTCCAGTTTATGTGTCTCCTTCTTGTTGGATTTATTGGCGATTGGCAGCAACCGCCACTTACTGGTATGGAGTGTGGTTCGTGATGGACTATCTACTTTATATATATATATATATATATATATATATATATATATATATATATATATATATATATATATATATATATATATAATTTCTAAGGAAAAAGAAAAAAAAACATACAAAAAAAAGTACATGCTTATACATAACTTTGTATTCTACCCGTCTATATCATACACACATTCACCCTCTCTATAATGAAATTAATGAAATAATAATTATTTGTATATGTTTGCTTCCCAAATTCTTCCTCAAAATATCTACTAAATGATTTTTTTCCTTAATACATTCAAACTCTCTCCTCATATATCTTATCTTGGTTTCGTATTTATGACATTCCAGTATAACATGTTCTATTGTTTCATATTTTCCACAGTAATCACATTTGCCAGAGGTATACTTTTGAATTTTATAAAGTGTAAAATTAAGTCCTGTTGCCCAAATCTTAACCTTGTTATCACTCTCTCCTCCTTTCTATTTCGTCTTCCATTTCTTCTTTTTCCTACCATCTAATGAATTTTTTTTTTCATCTCACCTTTTGTGCCATTTTCCATCAATTTTCATTCAATAATACTCTTTCCCTCCGATTTACTTGTTTTAACTGTAAAACTAATACGATTTTGAATTCCCCTCTTTGCCATTTTATCTGCCCTCTCGTTTCCTGCTACTCCAATATGTGCTGGAACCCACACAAATACAACCGTCAAACCCATATTTTTTATTCTGAATAATGTATGAAATATTTCTTATAGAATGTCCATCCTACAATCTGATTGATTATATTTTAAACTGAATTTAATCTGAACAAATTACTGTTTTTAATGGTTTTATGCCAACATTTCCCCTGTGTATACTGATAATCTATCTGAAAATCCCTTTATTGTCCTGCAATGGGGAAATTAAGATGGTACAGCAGCAAAAGGTTATAGCAGAAGTGGTCAAACAATGTGGACCTTAGAAAGTGTATAAAAATAACAGTATAAAAAACATAATAAGAAAATCTAAAAATAAGCATTGTACTGTGCAATGTTATATACTATATATATATATATATATATATGAAATGGACAGTGTGCAGTTTTATGTTTCTGACTTCTGCAGTGGTGCTGAATTCTGTCCTCCCGATTTTTATTAATATTTTAATATTCAATGTCCACCCAATTAACTATTAATTGAATAAAAACAAAGTCACTTAAATAATTTCTTGTTAAAATTATTTGTTGTGATAAATCATTTTAGAATCACTTAAAATCTCCTAAACGACCATACTTAAACACATCCTAAAGTTAAAACGTCCCATAGACTTCACATTTCACAATAAAATTAATTGTTTTACCCTATTCAGCGTTGTTTCGAAATAAATTATCATGTGTACGTGGTGTAATTGAACGCAACGTGAGGTGCTGGGACGAGGTTGGCGTAGAGGCGCCATGTTGACGTATCAGCCGGAAGCACATTTTTACAGGGTAACTGCATTCACTAAAACACCTCCGGATATTATTGGTCGTCCTCTGATAGCTGAGCTCTCCTGCTTTCAGTCGCCCTTCAGTCCTGTCGGGGAGAGTTCTCCTATAGACCCAATCATCCTCTAACTTTTAACAATGGCGGGGACACTTGCTCGCAAAGCCATCGACCACCTGAAGAGCAAAGACTTCAGAGATTATTTAATGAGGTGCGTTTAAGAAAAAAAAAAAAAAAAGACTCAAATGTGTTATATGATAGGAAGGTGCTAACTGAGCTAGCTAAATGTTGAGCTTCAGGTTTCTGATAATTGCTAGTTTGTTTAGAAATTCTCAGCTTACATTTAAACCGTTATAGTGTTTCTTCTTGTCTTCAGTGTGCTTTAAAAAAGCTCAAGGGCGCTTGTTGTTCTGTGTAGCTTTCTGTTATCATTTTGGAGTTTGTGTCATTGTTTTAATAGGAAATTAATTAATTTGGCTGAATTTAAACAGATAGATCCTATTATATTATAATAATATCTACCAAAGCAGAGGAACGGTGGGAATCTGTGACGTTTTGCGTCCTGTAAACAATACCCTGATGTGGGTTTACTTTGATCTGTTTGGATTGATCCTAACAGCTACTTTAGTAACTGTAAAAGTGAAATCTCTCGTTGCTTTTACGGAGCAAAATGTCCCACAAACCAGCTTCATTCCTGAAAATCCAGATTAAAGGTCAAAGTAGGTTTTTTGTGATGCAACAAACTCTGTGTTTGCTTTTTAATCACTGATTGTCCTTCTTTGTGCCAGAGAGTGGCAGTTTACATTTACACTAAAATGTGATTTGTCAATCAGAAACTTTGCTTAAAACCAACAATGTAAAAACTAAAATGATCATTTATTAGACTTTGAAATAGTTGCCTACTCTCTTCCTTAACTATGTTTTTTTTTTTCTTTCCCTTTCATGTCGGTGTTAAAATGAACACATAAAAGCACGGTAGGTCATGCATCTTTCCATCCTAACATGTACTCCTGTCTGTACAGGACTACATGTTGTTTCAGAAATCTTGTTTGTTTGAAGTGTACAATCCACCAGAGCTTCCAGTCCTGTTTAATCTGCCAACCATCCATATTACTTTTACAGCATTTCTGGGGTCCAGTCGCAAACTGGGGTCTTCCCATTGCTGCCATCACAGATATGAAGAAGAGCCCTGAAATCATCAGCGGCAGGATGACCTTCGGTAGGACATACAAACATGCAGATTTGTTGCCAACTACAGCATGTGATACTATTTAAGGTTACTGTTATGAAAAGTTCAAATAAAACACTATATTTTAATGTCGGACTCTCAGCTAAGGACTTTTATTTGATTAGAGTTCTACTATCAATGTCTTATTGTTCATTTGTACAGAATAGTTTGTCAGAACTGTTAAAATGTTAGTAGAGATTAGTGATTTTATGAGATGAGCTGAGGCTTCCAGACGTGTGTGGAATAATGGAGGGGGTGTTTCCACGAAGAGTGTGTCGAGGCTAAAATTGATGACGTCCAAGGCCTGGCTACCGGGATACCATGTGACCGCTTCATGGAGGGGTTCAGAAAGCGCAAGAAATATGACAGGCATTTAAATAGCCTCAGGATTCAGTCAAGGTGTGGGAGTTTGTAGGAGACTTCCTGCAGCTGGATAGAGTTTGGATACATTCTAAGAATAAATTGGTTGGAAAAACAACCAATCTAGTTGCTTAAAACTATTTTGGGTAGAATAAACAATGTAATGGTCAAAATCCCATTGGGGACTTTACTACATGGTGTCATCTGTAACACACAGACCTGAGGTTGATGGTTCAATTTTCTTTGAAATAAACATTGCAAAACACTACCAAAATATTATTTATAGCACAAAAAAGTAGTACAGACTTTTAAATCTAAATGTTGTGTAAAAATATACCAAATTTGGACTCAATCAGATGAATCATATTTATTTTAGAATGGTATTAGTGAGAAATTTCTTAGGCGGAGAGGCCATTTTGGCACATTTATCCAAAAATGTCACCAAACTGTGCCAAATGTGTTTTTTTACATCAATACTGGGGGTTTGTTAAAATTACGAGGTCACGTAGCAGCTGGACCCACCGGTGGGTCCGTAGGGTTCTAGGGGTTAAAAGGGGGGAAATAAAGAAAAAATTGCAAAAAATCACAAATTCTATTACAAAGTGTAGTTCTGCTTTACACCAGTAGGTGGTGACATGTTCACATGGAGCCTCATGAACCATAGCAATTTGGCCAAATGCTTCATTTGGCTTCATCTCACTATCACTAGTATTTTTGTAATTGATTTAATTATAATTATTTTTATATGATCTTTTTAATTAGAAGGTACTTAATGTTTTTCTTTCTGCTTTCAGCTCTGTGCTGTTACTCTCTCCTCTTCATGAGGTTCGCCTACAAGGTTCAGCCTCGTAACTGGCTCCTCTTTGCCTGCCACCTGACCAACGAGGGAGCACAGCTGGTCCAGGGAGGTCGACTCATCAAATACAAGTGAGATACATGTGCTGCCCTGTGTTTATTTATTATTCTTTACTGTCAATGATTAGAATTATGTTTTATGAAATGCTAGATGTGGAAAAAGGTTTAGCTTTAGCTGAAGCCATGATTGCCGTCCAATGCCTGTTTCCTGCTTACTTGCTGCGCTATGACGATGAGCTTAAATAATATTATAAATATATGGCGCCTGAAATATTACAGCCTGTCAGATATTGAACCGAAGCAGTACAGCACATAGCAAAGTTGTGATTACAGCTTTGTAGCTGAAGCCCAAACCTTGTTCCACTTAAAATATTTGAGAATTTGCATTTGAAATGAGAAAATCCTCCTTTTAAACTGTATCCTTTTTTTTTCACTTTCAGCATGGAGAAGAAGATGGGATCATAGTGGTGAAAAGAAGACGGTGGAACACAGAATGCTGCTTCTACAACCCACTAAAGTTGCACACCTGAACTCGTTTTGGCTCGATCCACATGACAAAAAATAAACTTTGGTTCTTAATCAGAAATATTCAAATATAAATTGTGATATCATTGCATCGATTTATCGGTTAGTGGTTTCCCTATGGGTTCCCTTTTTCACTAATCTATTAGTGTTGGCTTTTTTTTTTTTTTTTTTTACCTAGTTGAATTTGATCAATCCATCACTTACCACCTGTCCATCAGGGTCATGGAGGACTGGTTACCTACCAGGACAAGTTACCAGGAAGCTAGTTGAATTTTACTAGCTAAGTTAAAGAGTTTGTTGACTTAACCATTTTAATTCCAGCATTTTCCTAATAAAAATGTGAATATTCATATGAGCAGTACTTACTGTTCATGAACATAAGCGTAAAAATTCATTTCTTTATCTGTTCTACTATAATGCCACACTTTGCTAGGCTGGTATCAATGAAACTGTAACTGACAAAGACAGAACTATTTGGAAATAAGTTCCTGATATAAAGGTTGCTCCAGGACTTTAATTTAAATCAAAACCACTAATGGTGTTGGTGCATATAAATGGCCATTCATTGGCAAATCAAACCTTTTGTTGTACAGAAATGTACTCTGTGACGGGAAAAATCTCTAGAAATGTGATCAAATAGGCCTGTGAATGAAGCTTTGAAGAATCTCACATATGATCCTTGTACACTTAGATTTTTTATTTTGAAATAGTACAAAGTGGTGACAATCATTTAAGATCTGATCCAGCTTTAGAAAATTACTAGAAATTCTGCTCAGTGGTGCAGTGGAGTAGCACTGCTGCCTTGCAGCAAGCAGGTTCCGTGTTCGATTCCCGGCCCTGGTTCTTTCTGCATAGAGTTTGCATGTTCTCCCTGTCCATGCATGGGTTTTCCCTGGGTACTCCAGCTTCCTCCCACAGTCCAAAAACATGACTGTTAGGTTAATTGGCTTCTCTAAATTCTCCTTAGGTATGAGTGTGTGCATGAATGGTTGTGTGTGTCTGTGTGTTGCCCTGCAATGGACTGGCTGTCCAGGGTGGACCCGTAACCAGCTGGAGATGTGCACCAGCACCCCTTGCATCCCTGCTAGGGATAAGCGTGACGGAAAATGGATGGATAGATGGGATTTCTAGTAAGGAATTTAGATCAGCTCTATCAAATCTGTCTGTGTATGCTGTCGAAAACCCACTGTGTGAGCAAATCTTTATATCAATGTTTTTTTTTAATCCTTTAATATGCTATCTATTTTAAAATCATGTGTAAATCAACCTTAACTTAAAAGAACAGAAGAGCCGAAAACATTCTAATGTAAAACACTGATCTTAATGAGAGACATTATACTTCTTTAAAACTTTTATTCAATCCCTTATTGATTGAAATATCTCAAATGCATATTGAGCTATGTGAAAAAAACTGGAACAATGTACAGATTATTGCAAAAAATGTTTATATTCATTGTACACATATTAACTTGATATTAATTATTGATTGTAGACCCATTAACTTTTTATTTCTTGCAAAATAATTAGCAACGTCATCTTAATTAGGATGAATAAAAAAATGTATAAATAAGTTTTTTCTTTGGTTTGTTGATCGATCAAAAGATGACAGGAGTGGCTTTAACATGAGCAACGCAGTGAAAACAGTATTATTTTTTGCACTGGCAGCATACTATTTTAAAAGCATTTTTCTTTTACCATGATATATTTTCTTTATACAAAATGAAAAAAATTTGAGATGAAGCAGAGTTTAGACCTCGCCAAATTTACACTCCATGGTTGAATAGTGGGGCATTTTTATAAAACAGCAGCTGCTTTGCAAAGGAAATAAAATTCTTATGATTTTTTTTATATATATATATATAAAAATAACCCGCATCATTTACTAATATAATCCAAAGTAGACATTTGGCCTCTGCAAGTTCAATTTCTCTCCAGCAGATGGTGATGCAGTATTGCTTTTGCTTTTACTGGGGAGTTGCAATGGTTGACTTTTCTTAAAGTTTATATCTGCAGAAGGTGGTCTTCTTCAAGGTCCTGCTCTGTTGGCTTTGCAGCTTCACCTGGAATGTTCCTCACTTTTCCAGCTACAAAAACAAGAAGATAAAGAAAGACAACATTATGAAGTACCAATATAAGGAAATGAGTGACTTAATTCCAAGTTTTAATGAAAAATGTAATACCTAAGGGCTGAACAAAGTCTGTCCAAGATTCACCGGAACCTGTGTCAATTTCAGCTTCTTTAGGCTCATCAGCGATAGTAAAGTAATCTATTGCAGACCCTTCATAACCAGAGCCTTCTTCTCCTGGGAAAAACATTGGTGACTCTCCATCTTCACTCCTTATTGGTTCATCTTCCTCCTCTGGCTCTGAGGGTCCATCCATCATTGAGGGAGCCTCCTCACTCTCAACTGGTTGTGCCTCTCTGCAAACAGAAATACATGTTTATATTAATCATAATCAATCTGATGTTAATAAAAATATGTTGCTTTGCTTTCTGTTCTGTTAATTTAAATTTCAAGGAAAAACAACATGAATTATTTATATATGCTTTTAACAGTGAGAGAGAAAAACAAAGTGTTCCTTCTGCTTATCGATTGATTGCTGGTGACGGCTTGCAAACCATCCATGCTCCAAAGTTCTAACCCATGCTATTTCTGGTCCATGCTTGCAAACACACCACTCAATCATTTTACACTGTAGGGTAAAGGGGAGTGCGCGCATTGCTTTTAGCTTCAGTAGGAACAGAGGTGATCTATAGACAACAATAAGTGAAGACATTATGTTATTAAAACATAATGTAAATGCAGCATTAGCACCAAGCTAAACAAAACCTGCACCTTTGATAAGAGTATGTCTCTTCTTGCATTTCTTTTCTTTCATTTTCAGTTTGCTTTCCCTTAAATCTCCTTTTTAAGGTTTGTCCGAACTTCATGTTATCTTATTATTTTTTAACGAATAACTCCATGAGTTGTTTTCTGTGTAATTCAAGCAATCTGTTCTTTGTTGTCATAAAATATAAATATTTTTAAAGATATTTAAAAAAAAAAAAAAAAAAAAACAGCACTAACATAAGCTACAAGCTGTAACTGCTGGTCTGGTGAATTTGACTTTTTTAGCTGAAAAAATGTCTTCAAATAAGTAATAATTGTTACCAAGCAGAAGGTGAAACAAACATTTTCATCTTCAAACTTTCACTTGGGATGTTTTATAGAAAGAAATGTAATACTGTATATAATTTTGTATACACAAGAATAGGAAGGGGATGACATGTTTTTAATACTACAAATCTATTTAGATTAGGCTGTCTGGTTTTACGCTGTTTAATGAAGGCATTAGTAAGCCATACTTGTTTTTCACACTTCACACATCGGCTCTTGCTAAGTGCTAAGTTCTCCTGAAACACTATTCAACTCTATAAGCTTGTTTTCTGCTGTGCTTCTACACATTTCATCTAACCTTAGTAGAAATATATTCACTTTAACTGCCTTGCCAAGCAAACTTAAATGATCATAAGTTATGATCATTAAACTTATAAGTTCATAATCATAATTTATTATGATTATACTTAAATCATAACAAATGTATTATTAATTAGTTATGATTTAAGTATAACCTATATTAAAGTCTGATGGAAGCAGGTGAAGTAATATGGGATCTCAGCTGAAAAAGTATTTGCTGACTTAAATCTTTTCGGGAACATTTAAATGTCAGACAAAAATAACATAAATACAAAAAGCAATCTAAAAAAAGATTTAACTTACAACTTGGTATATTCCGCATCCTTTTCTTTAATGCCACACTAGATGGTTTTTAAAGATCAACTATCTATTTAAGGTCATGCCACAGAATTTCATTCATATTTCACCTAGGATAGTTAAATGGAAAACTTGTTGAATTGTTAAAACTAGCTGACATGGGGAATTACAAAAGGCTATTGTTTTATTTGAAGCCAAAAATAATGTGTTATCGGAAAGTAAAATTAAAAACTTTCATTTGAAAAAAGGGAGTACTTCAAAACTTGAGGGACACATGAATAAGTTAGAGATTTGATGTTTAAGCTGGTGATCACGCAGTGTACATAAAAACAGTTTTAAATGTCATTTAAGAAGATTATTGTCACTGCAGAAGAATATGAGAAATAATTACTCAAATATAACTGCCAATACCATGGGTGGGTTTAAACCTAAGTCTATACTTGCTTTTAGTCTGCTTTCTTTGTGTTCTGTTTTATTTGCTTTACAAATGTTTTTATTTTTATTCTGCTATTATTTTTTTCTTTATTTTTTTCTAATTCACGTAAAGTACTGTCAATGTACTGAATTGTGCTATACAAATAAAATTGCCTTGCCTATAATTCTACCCAGTCCTTTGAAGGTGTCAGGGAAAGGTGGAAAAAATGTGTAAATATTCCTATTACTACTGTTTGTCTTTTGCTTTTTAAAATTGTTCTGATTGTTTTTCTTTATACAATATGTGACTGATTCATTGATTTGACTGTATTACATTCAATAAATTCAAACTCAACTGAACTGAACACATAGCCTGGGTGCCAGTCCGAACTTAGTCCCGCCCACAAGGTTTGAGTTCGGGGAAGTTCGGTCTGGCTCTGCTCCATAGTAGCGCGAGTATTATCGCCCACTGTCAGGCGATCCAATCAAATTGTCAGGGCGGGCTTTATACGATGATGGACAGATGATCAAGAGTAACGTAATCAACCACGTGACCAAAGCGCGCTTGGGTGACAACAATAATGGCTGCTGCTGGAGAGTTTGGGTGAGTAGATTCTGCTATTAGGTCTGTTCTAGAAGATATCGACAGCAAATTAATTTTAAAAGAGGAACAGAGAAACCCGATCAAGTCTCATCATCTTATTCTAGGCGTGAAACTGCACGCTTTGATTTTTGTGGACAACAACTATGCCTCGCTTAACATACGTCACGCACTCTGTTGCTCTTATTGGTTGTAGGTGTAGAGGCATTTTTTTTTCCTGGTTCGTTCGAAACACGCCCCATAATCACAGCTCTATGGAGCAGTATCAGACTTATATTCTGACTAGAATTGAGTCGGACTACGTCAGGCTACTGAACACAACTGAACTCTAAAAACTTTTATTTATAAGCCTTTCAGAAACAGACTTGCAGGTGTGTTTTTGTCATTGTCCTGCTATGCAACTAAAGCTAAGGATCCTAAACTGCTAATTAGATCAATCCTCAGGATTTTTAGATGGAACGCAAACTTCACTCTCCTTTCAATTATGGCAACCAAGCTATTGACTGTCATGTTCTTTTGCTAAAAGACAGTTTTGTTGCCTAAATTATTATGCATGATATCTAAGCTAAAAGTTTTAATTTTCAACTAAATAAACTTCTTTATTACAATTTTACTGCATTTGTTTTATTATGATTATTTTTAAACTATTTGGTCCTTTCATTTTTTTTCTGACACACAGGAGCAGCTCAAGAAAGCTTTGTAAGGGGTGGCCAGTGTTTGGGGATCTGTGTCAATCTTGGTCTGGAAAATATAGCTGTTGTAAATATGTAGTGTCTCTTTAAGACTGCTACAACTGCAGATTATCACTTACCACAAGTATGCACCACTATCCTCTGGAAAGAGTGATGAGTGGCGTGTGCTTGTTGATACACAATTCAGCAGTGAGATGAACTTTATATCTTAATTTCCCCAACTCTGAAGTACCATTATGGGGTTGGACATACTCTGTTTGCTTCATGCATGATGTGATAGCAGCTGTTCAGCAAGACTTTGTGGTGCTTATGAAGAGTGTTTTGAATTAAGGAACAGGCATTATGGATTCCCAGCACCAGTGTGGTTGTGAGTTTTATTGAATATTACCACCGCCTCTACTAAACCA